TATATATATATATATATACACACGGTGTATAAACACACATACACACAAAGATGTTAAATAGAAACACCTAAAGAAGCCTAAAAATAATACTGATGTTAAATTCATGACTCCCATGAATGCTGACAATAAATCTACCAGAACATTACATTTTCTCTGAGTTATCAAAACCTTAAGGTAGGTAAATTATAATAAACTAGTATCTTACATATTTCCAAGAGCCACCTCACAGACCATCATAAGACCTTCTGGGTTATTCTTGTTAGTGTGGCAGTAATTGGCACTTTTTGAAACCATGTCAGCAAAGTAAATTCCTTTTCCAAACATGTAGCCAGTCTGGTGGAAGAAAACATATATCATAGCATGTGACCAAAGGACTGAAACAAACAGGAAACAGATCAAAGAATGTAGTCAAAGAATTGAAACAAACAGATAACACAGGTCAAAGCATGTTATCAAAGGACTGAAACAAACAGACAACACAGGTTAAAGTATGTGACCAAAGGACTGAAACAGACAACACAGGTCAAAGCATGTAATGAAAGAATTGAAACAAACAGACAACACAGATCAAAGCATGTAATGAAAGAATTGAAACAAACAGACAACACAGATCAAAGCATGTAATGAAAGAATTGAAACAAACAGACAACACAGATCAAAGCATGTAATGAAAGAATTGAAACAAACAGACAACACAGATCAAAGCATGTAGTCAAAAAATTGAAACAAACAGATAACAGATCAAAGCATGTAATGAGAGAATTGAAACAAACAGAAAACTCTATTCACATTTCTGGAGGTTGTCATATTTATATAATAATTCTGCTACTCCAATATATAGAATCAATCCTGTTATGCATAAATTTTAATTTCTATATGATTTACATGATTTGTTACCGGGGGTTAACAACTGTTTTACTTTCTTTACATTCCAAACTATGATCTTGGAAAATCACCCTTTTCAAAGTTCTTTGTCACATCACAGAAAACCATTTCATTCAAGGTTTTATGTCACATCATAGAAACCACCCCATTCAAGGTTCTTTGTCATATCACAAGTTAGTTTCATTATTGTACAAGACTCATAACATACTGTACAGACATTCACTATGTTATATTTCATATTTTACTGCAAGCTTTTAGCCCTCTTACTAGACTTCGTACAACAAAAATATAATTAAAATTTAATGTAGTGACTGGCCACATAATGTTTAATCAAGTTTAGCTTCATTCGATACATTTGTATTTCAACATTTTCTTTCACGATTATTCCACATTATCTACAAAAATTATTTTACATAAGACTAAATCTTATACTAGTGGGTCTTAAATACGGACACTTAAGAGCCAGAACAGTAGCTTAAATCAGTGACGAGCAAGGAGGGTTATCTCCAGCTGGCCTTAATAAAATCTGTGATCCAATTTTTAAACTTGTGCAAATTATGCATTTAAGACAAAGCATGCAAAAAATTTTCTTGTGCTTTTTAATGTTTAAAATGCTTTGAAGTTGAACCAATCATGCATTTTTTTTATGTGATTTAAAATTGTACAACATTTATAAACTTTCAGCACCAACCATCTCAGCTGTGTCTTGGCAACCAAGAGCATACTTGACATGCATGTGCATCAGTTTGTGGTTGAACACTAGAAAACTAAAATATTTTCAGAATTACATCAAATTAGACTTGTTTTTTTTACATTTAACAGAAAATTATCAAATAATCTTTTTAAAGGGTTTTTAATTGCTAAGCAGATCAAATATAAGCTTGTCTTTTGAATATTTTAACTGCTAAACATCTTTATTCAAACCTGATGATTTTTGAAATTGTTAATTTTGTAGTAATTTAAAATAAAGATAATGCAACTGAAAACACTTTTCTTGAGAAACATTCCCTCAAAACAGGGTTTAACAAATCAAAAGCTACCACACCTCTCACAGATTTGATGGATTTAATTTAAAATGAAGTTCAGAACACATGCTTACATAACATGAGTTGGTCCATTGTATAATTCCACTTGAAAGGGTGGTCACTAAATAACAAACTTACCACAGGAGCTTCTGGTGGAGCTATACGCAAACCCTGAGACAAAATCCCTACATAATTGGTTACTCGAGATCCATGCCACAGAAGCTTTCTGTTGTGTAGTTTCTTGAAAGGTTTATATCTTTTAGCTTCACCTTGCCTATTTACTTTGAACACCTATAAAATAACAAATAAAAAACTATAAAAACATGATATTCAATCTCTGAATTCTATCATCCTTCTGTGCATGAAAAGTTTCTTTTCTCACTAGTGATAACTCGTATCATCTCTATTTTCCTTCTTAAAGTACACGTTGTATTATTTGATCAGGATTTACTCTCCCAGAAATATTTCTAAAATTCCAATTTATTAAGCACTCGTCATTTTTGTCTCCTATGACAAATTTTCAATCTAGTTTCAATTGTGAAATAAAACTACTGGACTAAATATCAAACCATTTCTTTTTTACGTTTGTTTAGTAAAGCCTAATGTAATTTAACAGTGAGAGTAAAAATGTGACTACTGTGTCAGTTCAGTTTCTTGTATTTGGAAATTTCACTTTCTTGCTTTCAATCAGATGAAATCACACAATGCTACATTTAAACAAAATCTTTTTGTAATTTCAAATTCATTCAAAAGTGCTGCCATTCCAACCAGTCTTGTTTGCATCATTGGTTACTCTCATATAGGTTTTAACCCGATGACTACTGGTACTAACTTTCTTAGTAGGCAATGCAAGTGTGCATTTGTGAATTGAAAAAATGATGGAGAACTTATCTTTTAAAAGATTTCTGATTTTATTTTTATAAATAGTAGCATAACATTCAATTATTTGT